GTTGTTGCCAGCCATTTTGATGTGGGCGGCTCCCCACAAGGGGATAGCCACACCACAATCCCTTCTCTTCCATTCTGCTCTCAGGATCTTGGGCACGCACGCACACGTGCTCGGCATGAGTTTAAGCCACCGGGTCCGGGACTCGAACCGCAGTCAACTACTCAGGATTCTAGTGACATAGCCATTACACTAATTGCTGGTCCCTCATGCAACTTCTCTAAGATCATGCGGTTACTAAGTGAGAGTTCTGCAATTGAAATTCCCTGCTGTTTGAATCGCGAGCTCCACCACCACCTTTCAATACGCCAGGTTTAGGGAACCAGCGATGGCCTTGCCCCAGGTCCACCCTTTCCCAAGGATGATACCCGGCTGCCCCAGAAGGGGTAACAGAGGTCAAAGGAAACTTCCCACCTGGACCCTGGTACTTCGATTCAAGGATTCCAACCTCCACCCCTGCTGTGGTTTCAGGTTACGAAGCCCTGGAGGGCCCAAAGGAGGTCAGCGGGTTCGAGGGTGACACGGTGTCCCTGCGGTGCACCTACAGCGAAGAGCTGAGAGAGCACAGGAAGTACTGGTGCAAGAAGGGCGGGCTCCTGATCTCCCGCTGTTCCACCACTGTCTATGCGGGAGCAGACGGCCAGCGGACCACAAGAGGCAGGGTGTCCATCCTCGACAGCCGCAGCGAGCTCGCGTTCACGGTGACCCTGAGGAACCTCACCCTGCAGGATGCCGGGGACTATTGGTGTGGGGTCAACAGGCTGGGCCGCGACGAGTCTTTCCTGGTGTCTCTTTTTGTCTTTCCAGGTAACCAACGTCTGTCTTTCCCTCAGCTGGGGGACAGAAGACGCAGAGGGGAAGAGGGAGGACGGGTCCTGCATCCCCACCACAGCAGAGAGGGATTCTGGCACCAGGATTCTGAGTCTCAACAGGAGACTCGGGGATTCACAGATCAGAAACTAAGGGTCTCAGAGACCAACTGATTTGCAGAAAGTGGCGGAGCCAGGATTCAAACGCAGGTCATCTGGCTCTGGTGTCTGCTCTTCCCCTCTCCTGGCTCCATTGTGGGCCCCCAGCCCTTCCCCGCTGCCATCCATGGGTCTCCATTTTAACTCAGGGAGATAAAGTTAAACTCACTGAATAATAGCAGCAACAAAATCGTATTGAATCGGGAACCAGCAGTTAGCATAATGGCTATGTCGCTGGACTCCCACGTAGTCGACCGCGGTTCGTGTCCCGGACCCGGTGGCTTAAAACTCATGCCGGGCGCGGCAGCGTGACCATCCCCCCTGGGGGGGATTTCTCGCTTTCTGTCTCCATGTCTCCCTCTGTCTGTCTGGCGAGCACACGCGCCCTACAGTGAAAATCTCTCAAAAAAAAAAAAAAAAAATCGTATTGAATCTATCCTCCACTCATTACAAGATTCTCTGAGCACTTCTAATTCTTTTTTTAAAAATATTTATTCCATTTTATTTATTATTGTTATTATTATTTTAATTTGACCAGAGAGAAAGGCAGAGACACAGTGAGAAAGTGAGAAAGCAAGCCACCAGGTCCAGGATGCGAATTGCGGTTGGGCATGTGGGAGTCCCACGCCTTAACCACCATGCCACCTGCTGACCCCTGATCTCTTCCAATCCTTATCAGTATTCAGGCTTAATTTTTAACTAGTTGTAATCAATTTTATGTATATTTGAGGCTGCCCCATGTTTTGTGTTTACCCTCATTTATAATTGTGTGTGATATATACATAACAATACTCTTTCTCCTATACCAGACCTGCTGACCCCGCTCTGATGACAGTGGGTGCTAGGGTGGACAGCACCATGGGCCATGGCAGAATTCACAGACTCGGAGCGTAAGCAGAGAAAAGGGTTTATTCACTTCCCAAGAGAGAAAAGGGGCCAGAGGCAGTGTTGCATTGGCCCTGAGGCATAGGGGCTGTACGCTTTCAATGATTTTTAAAGTGCGGGCAACTGGTGGCAGGGTTATTGAGGCTGGATCTCACATAGCTGACTGCAGTTCGGGTCCTGGACCCAGTGGCTGAGAAACATACCAGGCCACATATATGCCCATATATCCCTAGAGGAGAGGAGAGGAAAAGGGATTGTGGTGTGGCCATCACCGCTGGGGCTACCTTCTCACTTCTCACTTCCCTCTTTCTGTCTCCAGTGAATGCATGTACCCTGCAGTAAACATTTTTTAAATTAGCAGACAGCAATGTTTGAGTCCTGGACCCAGTAGCTTGAAAAGTCACACTGGGCACATGTGCCTGTGTGCCCAAAATCCCAAAAGAAGAATGGAGAAGAAGGGATTGCAGTATGGCCATCCCCCCCAGGGAGTGATTTCTCATTTTCCCTCTCTCTGTTTCTGGTAAGCACATGTGCTCTATAGCAAAAAAGAACTTAAAAAAAAAAAAGAAAGAAAGAAAAAAGTCCCTGAAGTTAACAGTCAGCTCCCCTGTGTCGGTGCAAGCCATCCCAGTACGCTCAAGAGTTTCTGGGCAGTGAGAACAGGACAAGCATGCCGCCATCATTCCTCTTATTCATCGTTGCCTGGGGCCTAGGCAATGAAATATGACAAGGTACAAAAGTTAACATGTGGAAAGGAAAATCTTATTTGCAGAAGATCTGGTCATCTACTTAGAACAATCCAAAAATACAGTGATCTAGGACTGGAATAAAGAGTGGGAGGTGGGACCAGCAGTTGGCATAATGGCTATGTAATTGGACTCCCATGTAGTCAACCGCGGTTCGAGTCCCAGACCTGGTGGCTTAAATTCACGCCAGGCGTGTGTGCGTGCGTGCCCAAGATCCCGAGAGGAGAATGGAGGAGAAGAGATTGCAGCATGGCCATCCCCCGTGGGGCGCGGGGGTGATTTCCGGCTTTCTGTCTCTCTGTCTCTCTGGCGATCGCACGCACCCTGTAGTAAAAACCTCTCAAAAAAAAAGACTGGGAGGTGGGACCAGCAGATGGCATAATGATTACATCATTGGACTCACAAGGTAGTTGACTGCAGTTCAAATCTTTGACCTGGCAACTTAAAACTCATACTGGGCATGTGTGTGTGTGCCCAAGATCCTGAGAGGAAAATGGAGGAGTTGCAGTGTCGCCATCCCCCTGGGAACTGATTTCTCACTTTCTGTCTCTTTGTCTCTCTCCAGTGAGTGCATGCACCCGATAGCAAAAATCTCTCTTAAAAAAAGAGAGAGAGAAAGAGAGAGAAAAGGGACAGGAGGTGACGGGGACAGGAGGTCTTGAGGGCCCCCTCCACGGCCTGGCAGTTAAGGCAGCTGGAGCCCACATAGCTGATTACACGGCAAGTCCCGGAACTCAGTTGGTTTTTTTTTGTGTGTGCATGTGTACCCCAAATCCCAAAGGAACGGAGAGATGGCGGAAAGGGGTGACGATTCCCCATGGGGGTGCTTTCCCCCATCCCTTTCTCGCTATCTCTGGTGACCACATACACCCTTTAGTAGAAAGAAAGAAAGAAAGAAAGAAAGAAAGAGAGAGAGAAAGAAAGAAAGAAAGAGAGAGAGAGAAAGAGGGAGAGAGAGAGAGAAAGAGGGAGAGAGAGAGAGAAAAGAAAGAAAGGAAAGGAAAGGGGAAAAAAGACACCTTGAAAGACAAGCTTAAGAGTTAGAACTTCAGCCTCAGGGCGATGGGGAGCCGCTGACTGTTCTGGAGCAGGGAGGGATGAGCTCCAATGTATACCAGAGACAAACTGGCATTGGCATGAAGGGTGATGTGGAGAGAGCTGACTGATGGGCCACGGGGGCACAAGTGATGCTGAAGTGGGGATCAGGGGACCGTGGGGGAAGGTGACTGAGCAGCTGGAACCTATCCCCCGGCTCCTGCCTGGCCGAGGCGAGAAGATGGTGATGCTCCGCGCTGAGGTGGAGGTGGAAAGAGCTGCTGCTCCCCTGGAGGAAGAGCGACTCCTGCACCCCCTGAGGCCAGCCTCTCCCTCTCCTCTAGGGCCCTGCTGTCCTTCCTCCTCTACTCCCTCCTCCTGGCCTCTTGCTACCAAGAGCCTGCAGCCCAAGGCAAGCACTGGGCAAATCCGGCCCCCAGAATTGAGTGAGTGAATGGTTCTTCTGTCCCTCCTCCACTCCCACTTAAAGAGACACCCAGGGAGTCCCTCCTGGTGCCAGGCACTGCTCTGGCCGCCCCAGGGCCTGTACAGTCAGAGCTGGACTGGCGGGTAGCGTGACTCACTCGAAGTCACACAGGAAGCAGCGGAGCTGCAAGTGGTCAGCCTGACCAAAGCTCTGACTCTGTTCCCTCCAGGGTCTGGGGATGAGCTGGGGAGGGTAGACTGTGAGCCCTTACCCCTGACCTCTGACCTCTGAACTCAGCCCTGCTGGCCTCAAGGTCGTTGAAGGAGGCTGAGGCCCTGCTGAGGCGCACGTGGTGGGGAATGGGCATGTGACAGTGATAGTGGGACTCATCTTCTGGCGAGGAAGGAGGTGATAAGTGGGAGGAGTGTAGGGGAAAGGCTGAGAGGGTGGGGAACAGGCCTTGGGCACAAAAGGAGGTTGCAAACTGTGCCCAGGGGTGGGGTGTGCCTGACGAAGGGTCCACTCGCTCCCAATAGCTTCCTCTAGGCCTTGCTTATGAGGCAGCAGGACGGACATCATGGCTCACACGTGCTGTGGGCTCTCTAAAGGCCCGGGTGAAGCCATTAGAGCTGGGATGTTCTGAGATATTGGTCCCAAGAGGCTAGGGTTCAGGGGTTAAGGGTCAGAGGTCCGGGAAGGTGCTAAGGCTTTGCTCTTGGACTTGTAGCTTCTCCTGGTCTTCGTCTGACACTCGCCACAGCCACACAGGCGAAGACAGGGGCGGAGGCCTCTTGGTTCACAGAGACCTCGCCGCACGGGCGCACAGGAGCCTTTCTGTACACAGAGACCTCTCCGTATGCAGAGAACTCTCCTCACACAGAGACCTTTCCTCACGCAGGGAGCTCCCGCCCAGCCATGCAGCTGGACTCCTCCTCGACAAGAGACATCAGTTCTGCCCCCAGCAGCAGCAGCTCCAAGCCCAGGTGAGCCCCAGACAACCAAGGTCATCTTTCAGGTCATCTTAAACCTGAAGGGTACCTTTGAGTGAGTAAGAGTCTAACTCTCAGGGCCCAGCAGATGGTGTGATGGTTACATCACTGGACTCACACACAGTCAACGCAGTTCAAGTCCGGATCCAGCAGCTTAAACCTCATGCTGGGCGCATGTGTGTGCGTGCCCAAAATCCTGAGAGGAGACTAGAGGAGAAGGGATTGCGGCATGGCCATCTCCCCTGGGGGGTGATTTCTCGCTTTCTCTCTCTGTTTCTCTGGCTAGTGCACACATCATATAGGAAATAATTATCTTAAAAAACAAAAAAGTCTAACTCTCTGCCGCCAAGCAGACGTGGCCTCATGTCACGGCCTCAGACTGCGGCCCAGAGAGCAAATCTCAGCCCCCATGTACCCGTCATAGGCCCCGACGGTGACGACCTACAAACCCGAGGTGAAGGGGCTGCTCTGGCCCCGGCGCCCCCTCCCTGCCCCAGCACTTTGTACAGAGCCCTGTGTCCTGTATGAAACCATGGAATCCAAAATTTGTTTTCCTTATCAACTGGAGTCCCAGCCTGCAGGATCCGTTTTGGGGCCTATGACGTACTCCGTTACTGACATCCAGCACGGTCACGGTCTCCCTGGGGCTGGCAGTGGGAGCCGGAGGTCTCTTCTACCTAAGAAAGGGCACACCTGATGGGCTGGCCAGACGTCACGGTCCCTGGTGTCCTCTGTCCCAGAGAGACCTAGAACACAGTTGCACTCGGAATAAGAATGCCGGGCATAGTGACAAATACCCGTAATCCCCGCTATCTGGGAGGCAGAAGCAGGAGCGTCCAGCAGGGCAACACCGCTGTCTCTTAAAAAAAAAAAAACAAAAGGAAAGGAAAAGAATGCCATATTGCCCAGCGCGCCCATAACACCGACTCAGATCCGAGCCCCGGAGAACCTCCTGCGCACCGCCGTGTGTGAGCTGACAAGTCACGGCTCTCTCGAAGCGCGACGTGTTGCCAGCGTGAACGGGGCCTCACTTTTCCTTAAGGGTCGTAACATTTAACAGCGAACCCCGAGGTGGTGCCGGGCCCGTGTCAGGCTCTGTCTGAGCACCTTACATATCCTGACCTGCTCCTTCTTCATGACAACCACTTTACAGAAAAGGACATTGAAGGCCTGAGAGGCTAAGTCACTTGCCCAATGTCACCCACTTAGAAATGATGAAGGGGGCTTGAGCCCACCAGCCTGGCGTCAGGGTCTGAGCTGGTCAATGGTGCTCCTGGAGCATCAGCAGGCTTTGGTGCATTGGGTCGAATTCCACACTAGGGCTGGCTCTCCCAGCTGGTGCCTGGGAGCCTGGAGGACATGGGCAGGCTTATCTGGTAACAGACTTGCCTCCTTCTTTCTATCCAGCTCCAGGGCGTCCATCCAGATGGTCCGCAAAGTGGCCCCAGTCCTGGTGCTGTTGATCCTTCTTCTGGCCACAGTCCTGATCACCTGTGGCAGTCACATGGTCCGGAGGAGAAGGGAAGGTGAGCAAGGGCAGGTGGGAGGAAGATGGGAGCTTCTCTGAGCCAGGGCCCTCACTGGGACCTGCAGCTCCCCTGGCCCACAAAACCATGCTGGAAAGACCATCTGAAATATGGATGGACATCAGAAGCCTCCTTGGCTCTGAGGGAATCAGAGTCAGACAAAATTAAGAAGAAGCCATTGTGGGACCAGCAGTTAGCGTAATGGTTATGTCGCTGGACTCCCATGTAGTCGACCGTGGTTCGAATCTCGAACCCGGTGGCTTAAATTCACGCTGGGCGCGTGTGTGTGCGTGCCCAAGATCCCAAGAGGAGAATGGAGGAGAAGGGATTGCGGCATGGCCATCCTCCCTGGGGGGTGATTTCTCATTTTCTATCTCTCTGTCTCTCTCTGTCTTTCTGGGGAGCACACACACCCTATAGGAAAAACCTCTCCAAAAAAAAAAAAGAGGAAACCATTGTAATGGGGAGGGGAGTCGGCCCATGCCTAGCGGTGAAAGAGACTGAATCCCTTAACCAAAGCTGAATGACTTGCCCTGTGTTTGCACGGCTAGGAGGTAGAAGAGCCAGGAAGATGCCTCTAGTGACACCCTGATGAAGGCAGCTGGGGGAACTCCTGTGTGATCCCCAGAAACATATGCTGGCTCTGTTCAGGTCCCAGGTCCCCTCCAAGGATCCAGGAGTATTTCCAGTCACAACTTCTGAGCCCTGCCTTGCAAGTTGTGGTCCCCCCCCTAGCAACAGTGGCATCCCCTGGTAGCCGGTGAGAAATGTAGATCCCATTGCCAGCCTGCAGAATTAGACTCTGCATTTTAAGAACATTTCCAGGCCAGCCCACAGCATGGTAGTTAAAGTGGATGGATCCTATAGGACTGAACGCACGGTTCCAGTCCCAGACCTTGCAGCTTGAGAAACACACCAAGCTTTGTGTGTGTGCACCCAAAATCCTGAAAGGAGAGAGAAATGGAGAAGGGATTGCAGAATGACCATTCCATGGAGGCAGCCTTCTCACCTCTCCTGCTCCCCCTTGAACATATGCACCCTCTGGCAAAATTTTAAAAGGAAAGAAAAAGAATTTTAGGGGGTCCAATATGCACATTAAGGTAAGAGGCAGGGCCGGCAAATGGTGTGATGGCTAAGGCACTGGACTCCCACGTGACTGACCATGGTTCGAGTCCCAGACCTGGCGGCTTGCTTTCTCATTATCCCTTTCTCGCTCTCTTCCTCCAGTCAAATTAAGTAATAATAATAATAATAATAATAAATAAAATGAAATAATTTTTAAGAAAGGGTTTAAGAGGCAACAAGCTTAGCAGATGGATTTCCCCAGCCAGTGTCTGGCCCACACAAGGTGATCTCTAGGTACTCATCTCAGAAGGTCGTTCATCCCCAAGGGCTGAGCCGGCAGGGTCGTCTCTCCCAGGCTGCCTGCCAACCCTTTCCAGGAAGCCCCTGCTCCCAGGTGCAAGGGGGCTGGTCCCCCCCATTGCGAGCAGCTACGCATTACTCCAGGCTGCTCCTGCTTCAAGGTGTTCCTTCTGGTCTCTTTCAGCACAACTGGCCACGGAGGGACAGAGGGACGGAAAGGTCTACCTCTCAGCCCTGGTAAGGATGGAGGCAGCTGGAGTCCAAGCTTAGATCCCCTTGGGCTGGAAGTTAAGATGCCTAGGCCTCACCTCTGGGTCTTCCTACTGGTTTCCAGTTCTGACTTATAGACAGGACTTGCTCCCCACCTCTAAGGGATCTGCATGAGCCCCAACATCATCCCTTCAGCATGTGAGCCGACAGAGCACCCATCCTCACCCCTGAGTTCCCACTGGGTGCCAGGCAGGGTGGGCACAGGGGGCCACATGAGCATCTCTTCCATGGCTCAGCATCCTCTCCTCGCCCCCTATTACAGTTTTTAACTTCTTCCCCAAGATGGGATACTTTAGCCATTTGGAGCCGCACAGCCAACTTACAAGACTGAAATCAAGTGTCTACAGCACAAGAGTTACCAATAACCAAAGAATGGAGAAGTGGGAGCCCAGCTCACAAGTCCCCTTCGCCCCTGCCTTGGTCGGGAAATTTTAAGAACGAGCAAATAGGGTAATGAGGGGACAAGAAAGCATAATGGAGGGGAGGAGTATTCAGAGATTCTCCTGGAAACATTGGGGATGTCCCAGAATTCCAAATCCCACCTACTCTCTCTCCTCATAAAGTTGTTTCTGGCCATAACCGTGGAGATTGCCAGCCATCATGGCGTGGATAGATGTAGCACTCAGCCCGCGAATACAGGGCGAGGGTGTAATGCACTCTAAGTTAAGCGGTGGTTGTTCCAGGCGCATCTTGGTGCTGAGTGGTTCAGGCTGGGTTTTGTGGAGGCCTGATCTTAACTACTGGCATGCATCCTGTCTAAAAGAAAGAACAGGCGGGACCAGCAGTTAGTGTAATGGCTATGTCGCTGGACTCCCATGTAGTCGCCCGCGGTTCGCGTCCCAGACCCGGTGACTTAAAACTCACGCCAGGCGTGTGTGCGTGCGTGCCCAAGATCCCAAGAGAATGGAGGAGAAAGGATTGCAGCATGGCCATCCCTCCTGGGGGGTGATTTCTCGCTTTCTGTCTCTCTGTCTCTCTCTGTCTGGCGGGCGCACGCGCCCTATAGCAAAAAAAAAAAAAAAAAAAAAACCTCTCCCCCCCAAAAAAAAGAACAGGCGCTGTCAGTGAGGGTCTGGGGTCTGGTAAGACTGTGGGCTACCTGGACAGTGAAAAGACCACTTTGCGGAGGGGCTGGTCTCCGTTATGAGCACGGGTCTTACAGTAACACTTCTTAGAATCAGAACACCATCAGAGCAGGATCCGAGGGCGCCTCTGAGATCACTAGCCCAGCTTTCTCCAGTTTGGCGCAACCCCTCTTTCAGAACACTTGGAGGCCAGGAGAAAGGCATTCTCCCAGGCCCCAGGCCCAGCCAGGTACTCGGGTGTGGCAACTGTAGACTCCAGTGTGCTTTTGCAGCAGAGGTGACTGGGGCCCACAGAATAAAGGTCTTGCCCAAGGTACACAGCAGGCTGTGGAAAGCAGGCCCTAGGTGTCTGACTCCCACCTGGCCTCCTTCCAAAACCCCCTGGTGTTTCTTCTGAGCCTCTTTTGGCTCTGATACCAAGGTGGTATTATTGCCCGTCCCCTCAGGTTGAGGGTGGGGATCTGGGAACCAGGACAGAGGGAATGCGGCCATCTTCCTGGACAGGAGAACGGTGGAGGCTGCCTGCTCCAGGGCCCTCTGCTGACCCCTGTAGGAAGAGACTCCCACCAGCACTCCTAGGAGGGGGCTGCAGAATCGCCCTGCTATCTCCCGACCCTGCCTCCCTGGCCTTTGTCCCTTGGCTGTTTACTCCATTCCCTTAAACATGGGGCAGGAAGGGGGGGGGGAGGTCCCATCATCTTCTTTCCTGGCGCCAGTGAGGACAAAAGACTCAGGCCTGACCCCCGAGGGAGGGGGGGCTACGGTGTGAAAGGGATATTGGGCCCTGCTTAGGAAACAGCTGTTGTTGACTCAGGAAGCTCCAGGAGGCCAAAGGTGGCAGAGGGCAGTGAGGGGAAAGTCAGGGAGACAGACAGAGGGACGCTGGGCTGCCCGCTGCTGGCCCTCTCAGACCCGTCACCTGCTCTGCATCCTGGGGCCTAGGGCTCATCCCCACCAACTCCAGAGAGGGGCTGGGCCATGAGGGGTCGTCTCTGCCACCATGGGAGGCTGAGAGTGCTTGTGCCACCGGCAAAGAGCCACCTGGAACCTCTTCCTGTCTGAGGCCCCTACTGATGTGGGAGGGGACAGAAGAGGCCACAGGGCCAGGGGGCCAAGGGCTCTGGGAGCAGCCCCTGGTGGAGAAGGATGGAACAGGGCTCCCAAGAGGCCAGAGGCAGGAGCCCTGAAAACAGTTAAGAGCTTTGACTGGTTCTTGGTTTATCTCCCTTTTGGCTTCTCTAGTTTTTAGCGGAGTCTCAAGGTGAAATTGAACGGGGTTGCTGCTGTCTTTGTCCAGGTTCAGCTCAAAGAGGGAAGGGGACACTCTATTCGATCCACAGGAGGTCCCAAGGGGTTGTAAAAATGCAGAGGGAAGAGTGAGGGGTCAGAGCAGCATTTTCCTTCCTGACAGAGGTCATTAGGAGGGCTGCCACCCACCACGCGCCCATCTAACCTTCCACTGAACACCTACGGCGTGTCAGGGGCCTTACGTGTGTCGGTGCGCCTCTCTGATCCCTACGCGAGGTGGTACCGTTCTCGCTCCCCTTTTATGGTTGAAGAACTAGAGCCCAGAGAGGCTAACTACTTGCCCACCACGACCCACCCTGACAGAGGCAGAACTAGGAACACTAACCGAGGTCCACATTCCAGGACATGTCCCCCAGGCTCAGGAGAAAGAACCATCCTCGGCCCATGAACACCGAATGGCACCAGGCCTCCTGGAAACCTGTGGGCTCAGAGCAGCGCCCAGCCCTGGCCTCTGTGGCTCTTTGCTCCTCTTTTCCTAGTGCCGAGACAGGCATTCTCACATATAGCTCACGTCCGCAATGCCCAGGAAGGGCTGCCATGCTCACTGGAGCAGGGCCAGCTGTCCATAATGGGGACCGGCCGGGGGGACAGGCAAGAGACCGTGGCTTATGCCAGATTTGGGCTAGCAGTCTTAGCTGCTAAATATATGTATGTATATAATTTATGCTATAGGGCGCATGTGCTCAGCAGGGAGAGGAAGAGAGAGAGATGACCCTGGGGTTGATGGCCACACCACAGTCCCTTCTCCTCCAGTCTGCTCTTGGGATTTTGGGCACACACGCACACACGGGGTGATTCTCAGGCTGCTGGGCTCAGGACTAGAACCATGGAGTCGGCCATGAACGATCCATCCCTAACCTCCACGCCACCTGCTTGCCTCCTCTATTTCTAACAAGAGATGGCTCTAGCATCCACCTCGGCCCCATCCCCAGCAGCTGGGTATTGACAGAAGGAGCAGCCCCAGGTATAGGACAACCCACGCTGAGCCAGGGGGGCATGCCCTGCCAGGTGGGGCATGATCTAAGAAACGAGCTTGGATCTGGGGTCAAATGGTCTCAAGTACGAGTCCCAGCTCTGCCACTCACTAGCTGTGTGACGTCAGCAAGGTATACCATCGCTCTGAGACTCAGTTTCCCCATCTCACAAGGCTGTAGGTAGGGACGAGCAAGATGCTATACCCCTGTAGTTGTCCAGAAAATAGGGGTGTCTTTCTTCGGCTTTCTTACCCACCGGACCATGAAGTTCACCCTTAGGACACAGTGTCAGTCTGTGCCCTTGGCGGACTTGGCTGAGGGCCTCAGTCAGCTCCAGCCTCTGCTCTGCCCACCTGCGAAGGCCAGAGAGCCGGAGATGGGAGGGCCTGGTGTGGCAACTGACACCCATGGAGCAGCCAGGCCAGGTCAGCAGAGGGGCTCTCCCTCTGACTGGACTACCCACCTCTCTGCCCTGGTCCTCAGTTTCCTCAGGTGATCCTTGAGGGGTTCCTCAGACTGGTGATCTCTGAGGAGCTCTTCCTGGGGCCAGCCCCATGACCTGGTGGTTAAGGGAGCTAGATCCCACATGGCTGACTATGGTTAGAATCCCAGCCTTGGCAGCTCGGAAAGCAGGTGAGGTGTGTATGGGCGTGTATCTCACCCCGACAGGATGGAAAGAAGGAATCGTGGTGTGACCATGCCCCGTTGGGGGTGTTTTCTCTCTCTGTCTGGCCAGCACAAGTGCTCCCTGGCAATGAAAACATAAAAAGAATTTCTCTCGTGCTGTTATTTGCTGAGTCTTTGAGGACTCCAGCTTCGCTCTCTCTGGGCCTGTTACAAAGTCCCCGTAGCCTGCATGTTTTCTGCTTCAAAGGCTAGAAATAACCATGACGGTGAGCCAGGTGGTGGCGCAGCGGTGCATGGGCAGGGGCCTGGGTTTGCATCCGAGACCTCCGGGCATGCTCGCCCACGCCCACAGTCTGCACCAACTAAGGCTGGGGGTGGGTTGTGCTGTGAAGACCCTCTCCATCTTCCTCTCATGAAAGACATAAATAAAGAAACTCATAACAAAACAAAACGAGTAACAATAATGAAACAAATTGATGACTCTAGAAGTTCTCTTTTGTTGACTGCTAAGATGGTGTCATGAATATTTATTATAACCCTGAGGGGGAACTTCTTATCCCGCTTTGCAGCTGAGGGAACGGAAGGGTTAGGCAGATAACTGACTTTCAGCGGTCACAGTGAGCCTAGGACGTGGCAGAGGGAGACTGGCCCCTCACCCCTCCCAGCCTAGCACCCCTCCCCACATCTCCCTGCTCTAATTCCAACTTGGCTCGGACTTGCCCTGCTGCCAAGAACAGGTTGTTCTGATCGAGTCTCTGTTGCAGCTGCTGGGGAACAGCTGGGTCCCGCAGGACACCCCCATCCACCTTGCAGGTCCCCCTGGACCTCATGCCAGCACAGAGTCCCCTGCCAGTCTCTACATGGAGATCCAGTGCCTGGGCCAGGTGTGGACAGAGGGCCCTGGGGTCTGGGCCACCTTGTCTGACTCCACTCTGACATGGGGGGATGAATAGGGAGGGCTCCCTCCTCTGCACGTGCTCCCCAACTCCTACACTGCCCCCACCCACCTAGCCCATCCCAGCTGTAGATCTGGGCCTTTCACTTGGGAAGCCAGGGTCCTTGACCTCACGTCCTCTATTATCTGGCCTAGAAAGTTCTTGAATGGCTTGTTGGGATTCTTGGCTTAAAGAGCTCAGGGCTGGCAGGAGTCCCACAACTGTGGCAAGAACCTGGCCTGAGGCCATGAGGTTGTCCTCCTGGGGGGAGGGTGATGGGAGATGACTCAAAGCCTAGGTTCTGGGGAGGAGAAACGTGGGTTCCTGTGCCTCTGCAGGTGGATAGAGGCCCAGAACTTACAGCAAAGGTGGGGGTGAACAAGGCAGTTCCCTGGAGAATCCCCCAGCTGGGCTCTGCTTTTCAATCTCTTGTCTTTCAGACTACAGGGGAAGAGGATGCCCCTTCTCAGGACCCCAACGGGGACGCGGGGCCGGTGCCACCTATCTACATGTCTGAGGAGGACCTGGACTTCTCAAAGTTCGTCTCAGTCTAGCCAGGTGGCTGGAGACAGAATGCCTGGATCCGCTCTACTTCACATAAGCGTTTACCCCAGCCCTTGTCCATCTGCTCAGACCACAGGCCTCTCCCTACCCTCCCAGGCTCTCCTCCACACGCCCCAGCCTGGGCTAGAAGCAGCTGTCAGCTCTGGAGCCTGGAGAGCGGCCTTATGGTTCTAGCCTGAGAGCAGGACTCCCCTAATATGGTCACTGCCCTGGGGCTTCGCGAGGGTGGGGCTCTGCAGATCTGACCTGAGTCTGAATCTGCTCCAGGAACTCCCCTGGGCCTAGGTGCCTAGTAATCGGCCTTACCTTCCCACCCCCACCTTCTCCTCGCTCCTTGGTATTCTGCGTCACTTCTGCATGGGCTGCTGCTGAGAGAACCACGCTGCCTTAGACTGGATTCTGGCTTCTCAAAGCAGGACTGTGAGCCAGCTACATCCCAACCCTCCAGGAAGCTACTCAAGAATGCGGTCCTGGAGGACTGGGCCCAAGACTGCATTTCTCTGACTTGTTTGTTTGTTTTGCTAGAGGGTGAATGCACTAGAAAGAGAGAGTGAGAGGGAGGGGGAAATGAGAAAGCACCCCCAAGGAGGATGGTCATGCCACAACCCCTTCGCCATTTCTCCTCTCAGGATTTTGGGCATGCACACACGTACGTCCCATGTGATTTTCAAGCTGCCAGGTCCAGGACTTGAGCTGTAATCATCCATGTGGTATCTAGAGCCTTAACCATCATGCCTCCAGCTGGCCCAGAGCTCTGCATTTCTCTCGAGTGCTCCAGGGAGTCTCACACTACAGTCTGAGGACCGATGGGCCTGGACGGAACTCTCAGACCCTTCCAGCTTAGAGAGTCTACACTTGGCCCGTGGGGTTTCCCACCTGCGACTGCTCTCTCCCACACCCTGGCACAGGTGGGGCGCTCCTAGGGCCTGCCTGAGTCCAGGTTCCGGTGGTCGGTGGTCGGTGCACACTGGAAGGGACGAGGCCAGGCTGGTGGGAGTGCGGCCTTTCCATTCTTCCCAGCCAGCCATGCGTGCCAGGCTTCGAGAGGATGTTGGAGAAAGGCTAGCCTCCTTCCTTGTCCAGAAGGGGTTGGTTGCTTGTGGGTTCTGTGACTGGGGAGAGGAGAAAGCAGAGTGCCTGTGGGCTTCTGAAAGGCAGCAGGGAGGGAGCGGGGAAAGAGCCTGAAGATGATCTTGAATCTAGCTCCCTGGGGAAGAGAGGAGAGGAGTAGCAGACCTCGTTTTTTCTTTTCCTATTTTCTTTAAAAGGTGAAATAGGGGGGTTGTTCAGTATACAAAATTTAGAAAGATAGGGAGGGGAAAAAAAAAGGCACCCAGAATCTCTCCACTACCCAGATAATCATTATTTCATTTCCTTCCAATCTTTTTTCCTCCAGGTGATTTGCAGGGGTTCTTGTTACAGAGTAACCAATGTGTGCAACAATTATACAGCTTTGTATCCTGCCTTTCCCGTTAGTTATCACACCAAAAACGTATCTCACGTTCTACAGAACTTTTATAAATAAAAGGTTTATGAACTGCATATTTCAGTATGCCTCAATTTAGATCTATTTTCTCTATCACTAGATATTTAATTTGTTTCTATTTTTGCACCATAAATAACAAAGGGGTAAGTCTTTGTGCACAGTCTTCTCTGCCTTTAGAGGTTTCTTTAAGAAGGATTTGTGGAGGCTGGCGGATGGCATAGCAATTATGTCGCTGGACTCCCACATGGTTGACCGTGGTTTGAGTCCTGGACATAGTGGCTTGAAACTCATACCAGGAGTGTGTGCATGCACGCCCACTTGGCGAAGAAAATGTAAGAGAAGGGATTGCAGCATGTTCATCTCCCTTGAGGGGGGTGATTTCTCACTTTTCCTCTCACTGTCTCTGTCTCTCTCTCTTTCTCTCTCTCTCCAGCAAAGGGCATGAATCCTAAGGCAAAACCACTACAAAAAAAAAAAAAAAAAGACTTGTATAGGGATCAGCAGGTAAAGAACTGGCCAATCCCAATTCAAGTCCTGGCCCCAATGGCTTGAAAATCTTGCCAGGTACATGTGTGCCCAAAATCCTGAGAGAAGAATGAAGGAGAAAGGATTGCAGTGTGGGCATTCCCCATGAGGGTCATTTCCTACTTCCTCTCTCTCTCTCTCCTCTCCAGCAAACACACGTGCCTCATGACATAATAAATAAATAAATAAATAAATAAAAATAAGAGGAGAGGTGGAGGATTTGCATGTGTGGAGGGGCCAGGTGTAGGGAGTGAACATTTTGTAGTTCCCAGTAGCCAGGTCTGAGTACGGCTTTCTGGAGTGGCAGCAGCAATTTCAATCCCACCAGGGCCTTTCAATGGCATTTCTCAAGTCCCTCACCAACCTCTGTGCCTGTCCCTGGGGATGCAGCAGGAGAAACCCTTGATAATGACCCCACCATGACAGTTTAGAGGGGCTGGGTAGAGGTGAGGCTGGTCTGATGAAGCAAAGGAGCCAGCCAGTGTTCGAGGCCCCTGGGGAGGGGGGTCTGCCCCTCACCTCCCCCAGGAGGAGAATCCCCGTGGCCTGAACTCTGGGGCTCTGCCCAGGACTCAAAAGAAGGTGGGGAGTCAGGAGCAGCGAGTCTCAGGTGGTCTCAGAGAGACCAGGAGTTCATCTAAAACAGGCTTCCACCTTGGAAAACCCCTTAGCCAGGGCTGCCCAGAGGGGAAAACCTCCTGCTGCAAACTGTCACCTACTGTGACCAGGACTCCCTGGGGAGCAGGCAGTGGTCAGGCCAGCCACGCCCGCCCCTTGCCCGACTAAGTAAATTGACATTTTTCAAGGGACAGAGCCTTCTCCAAGGCAGCCAAAAATTGGCACCCGTGGAGCCAGCAGGTGGTGTGGTGGTTAAGGCACTGGACTCCCACGTAGCTGACCACAGTTTGAGTCCCAGACCTGGCAGCTTGCTTTCTCTCTCTCTCTCTCTTCTCTCTCTCTCTCTCTCGCTTTCTCTCTCTCTCTCTCTGGTGAGCACATGTGCTCTATAGCAAATTTAAAAATAATGATAATTAATAAAAAAATTTTTAAAAAGATCAGTACCCATGCAATTCCAAGATTCACTGGATTCAGCAGACACTCAAGTGTCAGCCGTACCCCTGTAACTCCAACCATGCCACCTGGACAGCCCAGCTGTGCCTTCGCAGGCATGGAGAAAACCCCCTCCTGCACCATTTGCCACTCCACAGTGCCCCATTCCATTCATCTTAGTTTCTTTTTTCTTTTTTTGAAAGATTTTTGCTATAGGGTGTGTGCACTTGCCAGAAAGAGACAGAAAGCGAGAAATCACCCTCCAGGGGGATGGCCACACCACAATCCCTTCTCCTCCATTCTCCTTTTGGGATCTTGGGTACACATGCACACGTGCCTGGCGTGAATTTAAGCCACCGGGTCTGGGACTGGCACCGTGGTCGACTACATGTGAGTCCAGTGACATAGCCATTATGCTAACTGCTGGTCCAATATCTTAACATTCCCTAACCTTTCCTCAAATCTTACAGGATCTCAAAGCCTTTCAATTCCCATCACTCCCTCCTATCTTGCAGGCTGTTACCTGTCAGCTTCTAGTTCTGTACGTTTTTTTTTTTTTTTCAACAAACTGGACATTATTGTTAATTTTTATTTATTTATTTTAATTTGCTAGAGGGTACACACATTCACAAGAGATGGAGAGAGAGAAAGAGAGGGGAAGTGAGGGACCAGCAGTTAGCGTAATGGCTATGTCGCTAGACTCCCACATAGTCGACCACGGTTCGAGTCCTGGACCCGGTGGTTTAAACTCACGCTGGGCGCGTGTGCGTGCGTGCCCAAGGTCCCCAGAGGAGAATGGAGGAAAAGGGATTGCAGTGTGGCCATCCCCCCTGGGGGGTGATTTCTCGCTTTCTGTCTCTCTGTCTCTCTCTGTCTCTCTCAGTCTTTCTGGCGAGCACACGCACCCTATAGCAAAAAAAAAAAAAAAAAAAAACCCTCCAAAAAAAGGAAAAAAAAAAAAAAAGAGAGAGAGGGGGAAGTGAGAAAGCAGCCCCGTAATCTCTTCTCCTCTGTTGCTTCCTTTGGGATTTTGGGCACGCATGCACACACACCCAATGGTTTCTTTTTCCTTTGTTTGTTTGTTTGTTTTTAATGACTTTATTTAGCTTTATTTATTTATTTAAATTCGACCAGAGAGGGACAGAGCAAGACAGAAAGCAAGCCACCAGGTCCAGGGCTTGGACCACGGTCAGACACTTGGGAGTCCAGCACCCTTAACCACCACACCACCTGCTGCCCTCCTTTTGTAAAGAATTATTTATTTAATTATGTATTTATCATTATTTTTTAATTTGCTATAGGGCATGTACGCTCACCAGAGAGAGACAAGGGGAGAGAGAGAGAGAGAAAGCAAGGTGCCAGGTCTAGAACTTGAACCGCAGTAGTCCATGTGGGAGTCCAGTACCCCAACCACCAGGCCACCCACTGGTCCCTACACAACATGTTTTTCAGACCACCAGGGCCCAGATTCAAACTGCGGTTGACCATATGGAATCTGGCTCTCTTAACAAGCAGGCCGCAGAACTAGCCCAATTTTTTTCATCGAAGTTCTTTTTGCTCTTCCAGAGTCCTAGAATTTCCATATGAATTTTAGAATCAGTTTATTAGTTTGTTTTTTTTTTAAAAAAAAAAAAAGTAAAAAAGGCATGTAGACACCTGAAATCTATTTCTCGTGGTTCTGAACATTGGCAGTGCAAGCTCAGGGCAACAGCACAGTTGGGTTCCGGCGAGGGTCTTCCAGGTTCCAGACTGCCGACTCCCATCCTCACATGGCAGAAAGAGAGCTAACTAGCTCTCTGGCCTTTTCTTACAAGGATACTAATCCCATTCCCAAGGGCTCCGCCCTCAGGACCTAACTACCTTCCAAAGGCCCCACCTCTCCATACCATCACCGTGGGGTTGGAGTTCAACAGACAAATTTAGGGGGAACCCAAAATAAGGTGGAGGAGGACTTTAGCACTGATAATTTACCCAACTTCAGGCACTGCGCCAAGACGCGCGAAGGTGAAATAAGAGAAAGTACAAATAGAAATGGCCCTGCGCGCTGCCTGCACTGGAGCATGGAGCCACAGCCGTCCTTGGAAGCGAGGCAGGGAGGACGGTCAGAGGGGCACACTGATGCCCCACACGTCTGGCACATCTGGTTCCCACAGTGCACTGCGCTCCGGGATGATCTTGCTGAGGACATTTGGCGGTGGTATGAGCTGAACTGGCACCTGAGAGGTGTCCTTGGGTGAGTGGGTTCAATGAAACTTTTCCAGTCACCCGCTCCATCCTCGGGCGAGTCCCCGTAGACTCTCAGGCTGTTTCACTTTCCACTCTCTTGTCTCCTTACCTCTCTCACATAAGATAATTTTCTAACTCACTCCCGATCACAGCTAGCAATCCGTTATTTCATAACTATCACAGCCATTATGGAGATTACTGAGTGCTTCGAGATAGCCCTCCCGCCGCTGGGACCGAGCCCACGAGCTGTAACTAGGAGGTGTGTGCGTGCATGTGTGTGTGTGTGTGTGTACAGGGTGTGT